TAGGTCTCCCCGCGTCGCTCCCTGCCCTTCCTCCCTCGACTGCGCCACCGTGCACGCCTTGCGTCGAGGGTCGGCTCCGCCGTGCTCCTCACTCCTCCTCGCTGCGTCCTGCTACTGCCCCCCTTCAGACCCTGCACTTGGACGTTTGGGGCCCTGCCCCCGTCCCCGGACCGCGCGGTGAGCGCTACTTCCTTGTCCTCGTTGACGACTACACGCGCTACACCACGGTGTTTCCCCTGGAGCGGAAGGCCGACGTGCCCGACGTTCTTCTCCCGTGGGTTGTAGCTGCGCGTCTCCACCGCGGTCTCCCCGTGTTGTGTCTCCACTCCGACCGTGGCGGCGAGTTCGCCTCTGGTCGGCTTGGACAGTTCTGTCGTGCGGAGGGCATCACCCAGTCGTACACCTTGCCGGACTCGCCACAGCAGAATGGGGTTGCTGAGCGCCGCATCGGCTTGGTCATGGAGGTCGCCCGTACCTCCATGATCCATGCCGATGCCCCCCATTTTCTGTGGCCGTTCGCTGTTCGCTACGCTGCTCACCAGCTTAACCTGTGGCCACGCTCCCAGCGGCCGCAGGTTTCGCCGACCCTCCTTTGGACCGGGTCCCCCGGTGACGCGTCTGCGTTCCACGTCTGGGGCTGCCTTGCTCACGTTCGTGCCTCTGGCACGGACAAGCTCACTGCCCGCACTGTCCCCTGTGTCTTCCTCGGTTTCCCCCTGGACTCGTCTGACTGGCTTTTCTACCACCCGCCGTCTCACCGCTTCCTCCACTCTCGTGACGTCACCTTTGACGAGTCCGTCTCCTTCTACCGCCGCTTCCCTCACCGAGGTCTCCCAGTTGCCCCCCCCCTTTTCCTTGCTCCCTCTCCCCCGGTAGCCCCTGCCCCTCTCCCGCCTCGTCCTGCCCCGTCTGGTGTCTCCCACGTCACTCCCCTCCCGTCGGTTGTCCCCGTTGAGGAGTCTGCTGACTCTGGTGGTACCCCCGGTCCGTCCTTGCCGCGTCCCCCTTCCCCAGTGCCTCCGCCCCCACTGTCGCAGTCGCCGACCCCGCTGCCGCCGCCGTCGCCGTCGCCGCTGTCGCCGCCACTGCCGCCGCTGCTCTCGGCCCCTGGGGGTGCTGGTGTGGAGGAGGGTGTTCGTCCTGCGGCTTCTGGGGGTGCCGCTGGTGTTGGAGGGGGTTCTCGCTCTTGGGGTGTTGGTTCTGGGGGTGCTGCTGTTGAGTGTTCTGCCGACGGTCGTTCTGCCTCTGCTGGTCCGAGAGTTCCGGCCCAGCCGTCGTCGCCGCCACAGCAGCCGTCGCCGCCGGTTTCCGCTCTCCGCCTGCTCGGCCTTCCCTCCCCGGACCGCGCGCCGGTGTCTCCCCCACCGCCTCCTGACCTCCCTGTCTACGGTCCTGTGTTCCCGCCGCCAGACTCGTCTCCGGCCCGTCTTCCTCCTCGTTCCCCTCCTGTGTCTCCTCCGCTGTCCCCTGACCCTACCCCTCCGTCTCACGTTTGGGCTCGCCGTCCCTCCCGTGCCCGTCCCGTCTCTCCTGTCCTGCCCACCCACCCTATGTTGCTCCGTTCCCACTCGTCTCGTCCTCCCCTCCTCCCGTCCCCTCCTCCCTCGTCCCTTGCTGTTGCACCTCCTCCGTTCTCTGACTACCTCCGTGCTGCTCGTCCCCTTGTCCCTCGGGTCCTTGCCTCTCTTGTTACCGACCCTGCTGTTCCTGTCTCGCGCCTTGACGCGCTTGTCGCTGCTGTCGCTGACTTCGCTTCTACCCGCCGCCTTGACTACGCTACCGCTCTGGTCTCTGACCCTGCCCGTCCTCTGTCCGTCGGGGGTGCTCCTGCCCTTGGCAGTGACGTCCTAGAGGACAGGCAGTACGAGCTGGCTTTCCTTTCCGAGGCTGCTCCCCATCTCTGCTCCATGCTGTTAGTCCCTGAGGGTGACCCAGACGCCTTCGACATCCCGACCCCTCGCACCTACGCTGAGGCCACCTCGGGACCTTGGGCCTCTCAGTGGATAGCTGCCATGGAGCAGGAGATGGCATCTTGGAGATCCACCGGCACTTACGTCGACGCAGTTCCCCCGCCTGGGGTGAACGTAGTCGATGGTCGGTGGCTCTTCAAGGTGAAGCGCCCCCCTGGAGAGCCGCCTGTCTTCAAGGCGCGCTACGTGGCCAGAGGTTTCAGTCAGCGCGAGGGGGTTGACTTCTTCCAGACCTTCGCCCCGACCCCGAAGATGACCACTCTTCGGGCGCTGCTACACGTAGCAGCACAGCGTGACTACGAGCTTCACTCTCTCGACTTCTCTACTGCCTTTCTTCAGGGCAGCCTACACGAGCAGGTCTACCTGCGCCGACCACAGGGCTTCACTGGTACCTTCCCTCCTGGGACCCAGTGGCTTCTCAGGCGCCCGGTCTACGGCCTGCGTCAGGCTCCCCGCGAGTGGCACGACACGCTACGTGCCACGTTAGCAGACCTGCAGTTCTTTCCGTCCTCTGCTGACCCTTCACTGTTTGTGCGTTCCGGCCAGACTCCGTTCTACATCCTTGTCTACGTAGACGACCTGGTCTTCGCTACTCCTGACAGGGACGCACTGGCCTCTGTGAAGGCTGAGCTGCTGAAGAGACACACCTGCACTGACCTTGGAGAGCTGCGTCGCTATCTTGGCCTGCAGATCTCTAGGGACAGAGCAGCACGCACCATCACTCTGACCCAGTCACACTTGGTGCGTCAGGTCCTTCAGAGGTTCGGTCTTCAGTTCTCCTCCGCACAGCCCACACCTCTACCCGTAGACCATGGGCTCTCTGCTCCCGTTCCTGAGGAGCCAGTAGAGCCCAGTGGCCCCTACGCAGAGCTGGTGGGTTGCCTCATGTACCTGATGACTTGCACTCGCCCAGATCTCGCATACCCTCTCAGCATCCTGGCTCGCTTTGTGGCTACAGGCAGACACCGACCTCAGCACTGGTCTGCCGCTAAGAGGGTTTTGCGTTATCTTGCTAGTACATCAGGCATGGGGTTAGTGCTAGGAGGACGCAGGCCAGTGGTCCTTACTGGGCACACAGACGCTTCTTGGGCAGACGACGCTGAGACGCTCAGGTCGTCGCAGGGCTACTGTTTCAGCCTTGGTTCGGGTGCTATCTCTTGGAGATCCACTCGCTCGTCGTCTGTGGCTCAGTCTAGCTGTGAGGCTGAGATCTACGCTGGTGCCATGGCGGCACAGGAGCTCCGCTGGCTGACCTTCTTGCTCACAGACTTAGGTGAGCGGCCTAGCTCTGCCCCGGTCCTGTACGCTGACAACAGGGCCATGATACTCCTGTGTCAGGAGCCTCGGCTTGAGGGCAGAGCGAAGCATATCCAGCTGCGGTACTTCCTCCTGCGCGAGCTACAGCAGCGCCGCCAGGCCCGCGTAGTTCACTTGGCCTCAGGTGCCAACACAGCTGATATCTTTACTAAGGCGCTTGCGCCTAAAGATCATCAGCGGCACTGTGTACAGCTTGGTCTTGTTCCTATAGCTGCTCCCCTGTTAGGATCCTGATTGTGTACTCTCTATTATATATGCTTGTCAGACTGGCCTTGTGGCCTTACCTCCAGTGGCTGGACTAGTAGTGCCACCCTGGCTTGCTTCAGTTTTGGTTGTATTCTTGCTGACTGGTCTCCAGACCCCTGCCTCAGTGGTTGGACTAGTAGTGCCGCCCTGAGCTGTTTGCTTCTTGTTTAGTTTCACCCCTTGTCTAGCCTAGGGGGTGTGTCAACTTATACATATTATCTATGTAGAAGTTATAGGCTAGACTGAGGTATGCTTCTAGTGAGTACAACCAACTAGTATTTGTTCTAGGTTTCCACCTCTAGTAATCATTCGTTTCTACGTTAACACCGTAATCCCCCGGATATAACACCCCGGGTATAGTACAAAATTCATGCAAAATCAGGGGGGTGGGTGCTCTATTTCGCGTTTAGGCTATAGCACCCTGGTGTTATATTTGAGGACAGAATTTTTAAGATGTGCATTAGACTCAGTGCATCATGGCGATTTTAGACATTCAAATTCCGGCTGAAAAGGCGTATGTTTTCTCGAGGTTCGGAATAGCCCCGGATTGCCCATTGCTCACGAATTTCAGGTTTGTGTCAGGTTAGTGAAGCAAGGTTGGGGGGTTGGCGACACTCGCAATGGACTGGACGAAAATTGCGACGCTCATCAGCCAATCAGCACAGGTCTGTCGCACAATAGAAACAAAAATTGTCGGCCCACTGCGCTTTTCCAGGTGAATATTTGTTTCACCTTGTCATTTTCAGTACCAGAGAACCCTGTCAAGTGCCTCGGAAAATTTCAACTTTTGCGTCCTGGTCGTAATCAGCATGAAATAGCGTGAAAAAACTGCATTTGTTGGTGGTATTGTTAGGCGTAGAAGGGTTTGAATGTAATGGGGGGGGTGCTCTCCTGGAACCCTCAAAAAGAGGGTGTATAATTGCGGTTTCTTCAATAGAACACCCTCCCTGGATATAACACCAGGGGGTGCTTAATTTCGGCGGGTGTTATATCCGGGGGATTACGGTATATGAGAACAAGTGATTGATTAAAAGAACAAGCATACAGCAATATATAGAAAGTAGGAAGGTAAAGCAGTTGTAGCATACAGTTGAAAGAGCGGTTATCGAGTCGCACAGCGACTCGATTGTCACTTCGGTTACCATCTTTGCAGTTGTAACTGTCATTCGTAACCTCCAGTTGCGACCCTTCGAGTCCTTTCGTGTTGTTTGTCCACCCCCTCGTGTAACCTCCGTTGACTCGCGAACCCGTTACGACCTTCCTCGAGTGTGGTGTTACACTTCAGAAACGCTTAAGTCCTTGAGGTATTTCCAACAAATTGCTTGTAACAATTGAATTACAAGCCTAATATATGCTGTGTGCAACTACTGTGTAAAACTATTTGATCTGTCTCAAATTTTCTATCCATCATTGGACAAGCAGCTCGCTTTCTGCCAGCTTTGGGCTCTAAAATCTCTACGAAATTTCATGGTACCATTTCCTTAATTGATCAATTCACAACCATGTACCAGCAAACACGCAAAACTTTTTTAGCAATGGACCAACCTATAAGAACCGAGAAAACAAAATGTGGACCATGAATGTGCAGATAGGCCCGCTACCAGACACACCTTCACGCTTCAATGTTCAGAAAAAATAGTGCAGCTGACTAGCTCTGCGTGTCTGTAGACCTAAGGGGAATGGGAGATGAAGGTGGTCGCAGATCAGGGTACATGGTGTACGGGCTGAGGGGTCGGTTTGCGTATGGCAGATCAGAAACGCCGCTGCTGCTGCCATTGCCGGAGTCAGATCCAGCAACCTCCCACGGCCACTTCAGCTCAAGGCCCTTGCCCGCACCTTCTGAAGATGTAACCCACACCCTCTTAGTATCAGCAGAAGCATCAGCTGCAGGAGTTGCTGCTGCCACAGCCACCTCAGGCTTTGCAGCTGCTGGGACCGGCGGCACAGGTGCAGCAGGAGCAGGTGGGGCAGCAACCTCTTCCTTCACCTTGGCAACAGGTGTTGGAGGAGACGGAGTCGGAGAGGTGGGGGGCTTCAGGTCTTCATACCTGAAGGAGGAATCAGAAACAATGCGTTAGGGATGTGCATGCAGAATCGAAGGTTCAAAGAAGCAACTGTGTTAGTTCTTTTTATAATCCTTGCAACAAGACCTACTGTGAGTAGGGAGACAGTGGGGTTGGGCTTGGTGGAAGGTCAGTGGAGGACTTCTCCTCCTCTGCAACCTGCCACGGCCAGCGGAAGTTGAGACCACCACCACTCGCTTGTGTCTCAGCTGCTGCCTTCACCTTCCCTCCTGCATCAGCCTTGGCCTTAACCTCAGCTTCTGCTTTAGCCTTGGCAGCTGCTTCAGCCTTAGCCTTGGCTTCTTCCTCAGCCTTTGCTTTAGCATCAGCATCAGCCTTTGCTTTCGCCTCAGCCTCTGCCTTAGCTTTGGCCTCTGCCTCAGACTTGGACTTCGCTTCTGCTTCTGCCTTAGCCTTGGCCTCGGCCTCTGTCTTAGCCTTGGCCTGAGCCTCTGCCTTGGCCTTAGCCTCAGCAGCAGCCTTGGCTTGAGGATCAGGCTTCGGAGGAGATGGGGTGGGAGATGTCGGGGGCTTCAGATCAGGGTACCTGAACATCAGACGTTGGACAAGACAAACATAAGCCGTGGTTCAGTCATGGTGAAAGCACTTGAAGTTGGAAGGTTCACTCACTCAGTTGACCCAAAATGGAAGCGAGTGGCTTACATTGTGTATGGAGAGAGAGGAGTTGGGCTAGGAGGCAAATCTGTAGACGACTTCTGAGCCTCAGCAACTTGCCATGGCCAGCGGAATGCTAGACCCCCACCACTGCTGCTTGCCTTCGCAGCAGCTTCAGCCTTGGCCTTAGCAGCTGCTGCAGCTTTAGCCTTAGCTTCTGCCTCAGCCTTGGCCTTAGCTTCAGCATCAGCCTTGGCCTTAGCTTCGGCATCAGCCTTGGCCTTAGCTTCGGCATCAGCCTTGGCCTTAGCTTCGGCATCAGCCTTGGCCTTAGCTTCGGCATCAGCCTTGGCCTTAGCCTCAGCCTCGGCTTTAACTTCCGCCGCAGCCTTCGCCTTAGCATCAGCTTCTGCCTTTGCCTTGGCCTCGGCCTCTGCCTTGGCCTTGGCAGCAATTACCTCAGGGCTCGGCTTGGGAGGAGATGGAGTCGGAGAAGTAGGGGGCTTCAGGTCAGGATACCTGAAGCATAACACCACGCATCAAATTATGCTTGTTGAGATGCAGAAGTGAGCATATCCGTATTAAACAATTGATCTCTTATCTTCAGGAATGTTATAACTGCTTCAAATGAGTGAGTTTAAATATGCGGTATGAGTCAAGTTATTCCTTTCTTACAGAAAGTTCAGCTGCTGTTCTCTTGACGTTTCGAATGTAGAACTCACATGGTGTAGGGTGACAGGGGAGTCGGGCTTGGTGGAAGGTCCGTGGATGACTTTGACTGCTCCACTTGCCACGGCCAGCGGAATCCACCTCCAGTTTTTGCTGCTGCTGCAGCTTTCGCCTTCGCCTCTGCCTCAGCCTTGGCCTTAGCCTCCGCCTCCACCTTGGCCTTGGCCTCCGCCTCCGCCTTGGCCTTAGCCTCCGCCTTGGCCTTAGCCTCCGCCTTGGCCTTAGCCTCCGCCTCTACCTTGGCCTTGGCCTCCGCCTCCGCCTTGGCCTTGGTCTCCGCCTCCGCCTTGGCCTTAGCCTCGGCCTCCGCCTTGGCCTTAGCCTCCGCCTTGGCCTTAGCCTCCGCCTTGGTCTTGGCTTTAGCCTCCGCCTCTTCCTTGGCCTTAGCCTCAGCCTCTGCCTTGGCCTTGGCCTTAGCCTCTGCCTTGGCCTTGGCCTCTGCCTCTGCCTTGGCCTTAGCCTCTGCATCTGCCTTGGCCTTAGCCTCTGCCTTGGCCTTAGCCTCTGCCTCTGCCGCTGCCTTGGCCTTAGCCTTCGCCTCAGCCTCTGCCTTGGCCTTGGCCTCAGCATCAGCCTTGGCCTTGGCTTTTGCTTCAGCCTTTGCCTGGGCAGCAGCCTGCTCCCTGGCCTTAGCCAGTGCCTCTGCATCTGCCTTAGCCTTGGCTGCTGCCGCTTCCTTGGCTCGAGCTTCAGCTTCTGCTCTTGCCTTCGCTAGTTCAGCTGCAGCGGCAGCAGCTGCCTCCTTCTCACGCAATTCTCGGATGAAACGGTCCTTTTCACGCTGGCTCAAGCTGCACACACAGAAACACACATTGGCACAAAAATGGATGTCAGACAGAGCCAGAACAGCCTGGGGCTCTACCAGGAGGTGTGAGACGAGTGAAGGTTGGTCGGCAGAAGTACATACATTCGACCTTCCGCGGCTGCAGCCAGAACGGCTTCTTCCAAGGCCTTAGCCTCTTTAGCAGCTTGAGAAGCTGCGGCTGCTCGTGACTCGATCTCTTGGCGCTTCTGCTCAAGCGCAGCCTTCTCAGCAGCGACTGTCTGGGCCTCAGCAATAGCCTCTTCCTTTTGCTGACGAGCAATTTCGAGCTGCTCCGCCAGCTTTGCCTTTGCTTCAGCAGCCTTACGCTCAGCTGCCGCTCTGGCCTCTGCCTGCTTCTGGCTTTCCCGCGCTGAAACCTCAGCCTCCTTCTTCTTCTGACGCGCTGACGTATCTTGCTCAGCCGGCACCCTCCTCTCGACTACTACGACTTCCTCCTGCAATCAATTCAGAAAGATGTGAGTGGAAAGGAACCTCAAGCAGGAACACCTTGAGCTCTCAAACTCGCGAATACTTCGCCACAAGGAGACACTTACTACTTCGTCGTACTCGTCATCGTCTTCCTCTGCATCATCAGAAGGAATAGCTGCCAAGAGGCTCTCAATGGACTCTTCAGGGGCAGTCGTCTCAGCAACGGCTTCCACAACCTTATTTGTTGCAAGATTTGGCTTGTTCAGGGCAACAGCAACCAGCTCCGCGATCTGCACCAACATTGACCGCGTAATTAAACATTAAAGCACTGCTCAGAAGGTGTCAGCGGCCTGTCACGATTTAGCATTCGCATACCTGCAAGGAGGACACTTGTCCGCCAGTCAGACTGCCACCTTCCTCGAGCTTCAGGTTATGCGTCTCCTTGTAGGAGTCAGTTGGCCTTTCCATTCCACCAGGGCGAATGATCTGTCAACAACGAGGGTCAACAAAATTAGTTCATCTTAGGCACTAGTTTGCGTTTCGTAGCACACCGTAGCCGTTGTGACGCACCAGATACGGAACGCCGCTCGCTTTCAAGGACTTCTCAGCCTGCGCCTTCCAGAAGAGAACGCCCCAGAACAAGCTGCGAAGAACGATGAGTTGAGTGAGAAACCAGTTACTTTCGGAAGGTAAATATTAACGGCCGAAATCCCTTCTTACTTCAGCAGCGATGCAGGGAAGCCAAACTTCTCAGTGCCAATCGATGAAATCATGATGAACTGCTTCACTCCAAGCTCGGCCGCTGAAACGATGAGGTTTTGCGTTAGGACACGTAAGAAACGGCCAGCTCTCAAAACGAATACGAACAGAAAGACCAGAAAACAAACGTACATGCGTTGATCAGGTTCTCTGTTGCAACCTTGTCCACGCTGTACGGGCCTGAGACATTGAGCAGTTCTTTCTCAGATGCACCAATAGCGCACACGACCTTGCCAGCACTGCCGATAGCTTCCTCAACGGACTCCGGGTCAAAAATGTCGAACTCCACAAGCTCCACATCGGCCTCTTTCGCAAAGAAAAGCTGCAACAAACAAAAAAAAACTGTTTGTTGGTCTCTCGACGAGTGACGAAAAAGTAGGTTACTCAAAAGATCCACTTACATCGAGAAATCCCTTCTTCGGTGGCGACGGAAGCTGCAAACACCAAGTAAGGGTAATGACTGTAGGGTAAGAATTACTTCGGCGATAATTGTCAATGCAAATTGCCCCACAAAAATGAAACTTACATCAGTGAGGACCTCATCTGCCTTGGTAAGGCTGCGCACTCCGGCACGGACCTTGAATCCAGCCTTGATAGCTTCCCTGGATGAGATAGTTGAACATGTGTGAGCCTTATATACATTGCATTGCAACCAGCTGCAAGTAGGTACGAATTCTTACCTGACAACACGGGAGCCAACTTTGCCAGTCGCACCGGCAACAAACACGAGCTTGTCGTCGCGGGACTTGTTGTCGGACTTCGTAGCACCGAACAGATTAAAGGGTGGAGTGAAAACAAATTTCTGGGTTCCCTTCTCCCCTTCAGCCTTCTCAACATCCTCTGTTACTTTCTGAGTGCCCTTGTTGCCTGCGGGGAAACTCCAAGGGAGCTTCAGCGTGCCTTCAGTTGCTGCAGGCTCTTCCTCATCATCATCCTGATTCTTCGGCGCGAAGAGGCCTGAAAGCGTGCAAAGAATTATCATAAGTGTCTGAGGACGTATCTACTACGGTCTGGCGTGCTTATTGAGACCTACCTCCGAATTTCGCACGGCAGGCAACGACCGGTCGGGCAGATCGCACAGCAAGAGCTCTCTGGCCCTTCAGTGAGTCTGCGAGGCTGAGATAGCCGCCATAGGTCGGCTTTGAAAATACCTTCTCATTCGCTCCGCCAGTCAGCCCCTTCAGGCCTATCTGGCTTGTAGCTAAGAGGTTGGCATTGGCTGTTGCAGCTGCCAGGGAACCCATTTTTCCTCCCTGCGTGAGTAGCTCTAGCTTGCTGCAAAACTGATTCAAATCGGAATTCTCAAGGTTTGAACCAGAGGCCCAGTCGAAATTCCCAAGGCCAGTTGGGGCTGGGAGGAAGAGAGCTTCTGAAACTGGAGATCGAGAAATGTGATGGAACGAAGAATCTGGACTGCAGCCAGCCGCCACTGACTTTCGTCGCAGAAGATCACGGAAGGGTGAAGTGGGTCGAATCTGGTGGTGATCCTTCTTCAACAGCAGTGAATGGTCCATCTGGTTGCCACGTGGACAAGCTTCGCTTCGAGGGCACTGAAGATCTCTCTACGAGTAGAAATTGTCGCTGAACTTTGACCGTGAGGGCTGAGGTGTACGTACACGAGAGCCTCATTGGTTCGCCAGCCACTCAAAAAGGTCGCAGGTATCTGTCCGTATCAGGGTGAAAATCTTCAAATACAATACGTAAAAAATACGATAAGTGTTAACTCTTCCACCAAACCATAATGCTTCACCTTCCCATCACATGGTAGCGCAAACAAATACTATTTCCTAGGGTCCCTGCTAAGGCCTTTCGAACGCAATGCTTGTATGTATGCTTTGGCAACAGAATACTTTCTCATACCCAGAGAATGAAGCATGGCCCATGTGTATATGCCGCTCGAGTGCATATCATCAAATTGAAGCCTAAGGGGATCAGGGCATGAAAGGTCAGAAAGCAATAATTAGTATAGTGTCAAATAGGAAAAGCTCGTGTATAAAAGATTTTCATCCACACCGCTAACCTGATGGCATAGTTTCCTATGGGCTCCACTTTGATAACGTGGACATACCGGCGACCAGCTAAAATCTGCAAACAAGCAAGAAACTGATTATAGGTACATGAATTGCGTGTGCATAGGCCCTCTCATGAAGAGAAGGCAAAACGATGAGGATACGGGGAAGAGAGGAGATACAGAATGTAGGGAGGCGTGGAAGCACTACCTGGGATAAAGACCATATGTAGGCAGGGAAATTTCGAGAGGCGAGAGAGAGAAGGGAAGGTGGAGAGGGGAGAGGAGGCGCGAGCTAGAGAGAAATAGACAGCGAGAGGGAGAAATGGAGGGGAAAAAGGGAGGGTGGAGAGGTGGGAGATTGGGGCAAGGAAGTAAAAGAATGGTGGGGTGGCCCAAAAGAGTTGCTGCATGAAACTTTCCTTAGCTGCAGCACCAGCTCGTCCGGTTCCTCCTTTAGGCGAAGGGCTGTTAACTCGGAGTAACTCTGCTGGCAGAGAAAACCTCTGGCCGTTGGCGAACTCAATCAGAAGGGCCTGATGACGTACAGGGTCAACGATTATGCACAGGAGAAGAAATGAATAGTGAAGACCAGGCACAACAACGAAGGCACTTGAGCCTGGCCCTTAAAAATGCTAGGAAGAAAACAAGTTTGGCTGAGCGACCGGACGGAGAGATTACTAGCCATCAACCGGAACCCTTCCGACCCACGCAAAGCGCAGCACCTTGCCTGAGTCTAGGCGCTGGATCCGACTGGTTAGAGGGGTCGCTTGCATTGAAAACGGTTCTTGGTCAGTCGCGACTTCATCAATCGTGTCTCCTCTTGTGGATGGGTGTTGCGAGAAGGCTAGAAAGCCCCCGGTACATGTCGCCAATCAACTGGTGGCCCCAGAGGTCCCACGGTACGTCCTACTGACGCGAGGGACCTCGAAAACGCCAACATCAGAAAAAATCGCTATTATGCCAGAGAAAAGTACGCGGGAACTAGCGACCCGTCGTTGGTCGTTTGTAAAGATGTCTCGGCTCGTTGTTCCAGTTAGAGGTGTCTACTCAAGCAGCGGAACCTAAAAAAAATCTGCTGACTACATGGTGCGCCGCTGAATCCGTTGCCAGGCCACTGAACGACGAGTGCGAGGCGTCGCTTTCCTGGATTGGTGAGCGGAATCCCTTTCTTTCTGCAGAGAACGCTTTTGAGGCACCTAGAAACTCTATCTGTGACAGAACAAGAAGCTGTAGACAGATCGAGAACCTGAGGGCGCATTCAGAGTCGTACGGTCCTTGCAACCGTGGCTGCCACATTCTTTCCACCCCAACACCTAGCAGCATGGTGGAAGCAAAATGAAATAAAATTATCAACTGGTTGTCAAATGGAAAAGGATCAAGCCCTAACTTTGAACAAAATGCAACACGGGGTTCATATTCCTCTTTGAAAATCCCCTGGGTGCGTCTGTATCGCGGCTGGCTTGAACACCAAGAGCGCTGCTCGCGTGCCTGATAACTCCCTACTTCAGCCTCCAGAGATGTGTCTGTATGATGCCATCCTTCCCGCCTTAGCAGGTGTCCCTCGTTTCCGTCGTAGAGTAAGCTCTGCGCGTGTGGTTGCACGCAAGTTTCTTTGTGTGACGTCTCGCGGTGTGCCAACAAGTCGTTAATCCGCAGATTCTTACTCTCTCCCGACGCTTCTCGCTTGCTCATTACCACGTGCCCTCGACGTGCCCTTGATCGTCAACGGTGGCAGTCCGCGTAGTGCTAGAAGCCCCCGCACGCACCGCTCCTTTCACAAATTCGAACGATACGAATCTCGCTGTTTCCCCACTCTTTATTCCGCGCGCACAGCTCACACTCACACTTCGCTAAGCGCTCGACGTAGACGCTCATGGGGTCGCCGAAGCAAGGCTCGGCGCGTCACGCGGGGCACCTGCACCACGCGCACTCCGCGCACCACCTGCCCGCCGCGGTGACCAACGCGCGCGCTGCTCTGTTCGCTGTGGGCCTGCTGGTGGTGACGCTCATCTCCATCCTCGGGTTCAACCTCTCCTCCATGGACCCCAGGGAGCCGACGTCGCGAGCTGCTTGCGGAGGGAACCACGTAGGACCAGGTACAGTGCACCTGCAGGTCAGGTTTTCCCAGGGTTCAATCTCTAGGCCAGGGCCAGGTCCCCTGGTTCTGCTCTGCTGGTGGTGACGCTCATCTCCGTCCTCGGCTTCAACCTCTCCTCCATGGACCCCAGGGAACCGACGTCAAGGGCTGCATGCGGAGGGAACCACGTCGGACCAGGTAGAGTGTACCACTCTTCCTGAAGCTCAGGTCAGGTATTCCCGAGGACCCATCTCTAGGCCTTCACCTGGGCCTGCTGGTGGTGGTGACGCTCATCTCCGTCCTCGGCTTCAACCTCTCCTCCATGGACCCCCTCTAGTTACGCGGAGCTCCCCACTAGGTGAAGCAGTCATTTCTCTGTCTGTCCCTCCCTTGTACACCACACCAGGCACGGAGAACCCGCATCATGACATGCGCAACGAGGTACACGACAAGATGGGCACGGGGTTCCCCTCTAGATCACGCAGGGATCAAGCACACCATCTCCCTGTGCCACCGTCTGTGCCTGTCCCTTGCACTGCACACCCCACCAGGCACGGAGAGTCCCTACCACGATCTGAGGAACGAGGTGTACGATAAGATGGAGGCGGAGTTCTACGACAAGGGTGCAGAGTTCCTCTTCGGGTCCAGCACCACCTCGCAGTCACTCAAGGTGCTGCTCTGTGGCGTGATGTCCCCCTCCCCTGCCTAGACACACTTACACACTTACACACACACATACACACACATGCGCCTGCTCACCTGTTCACCCACCCACGCTCGCTCCACATGCACATGTCTAGTCCAAAGACCCCCCCAACCTTTTTTTACCTGTTTTATTTTAGGGCATTCACATCAGCCACTCCTTGGCCAGTCAGTCACATTCTGAAGGAATCTTTCTCGTTTTCTCTCCTCCCTTCCCTCTCCCGTCTAACCCCCTTCTCTCCCCCCTCCCGCATCAGCTCTCGGACATCTTTGAGTTGCGGCATGGCGAAGTGCACCCAGTGCTCAAGGTGGGTGAGCGAGTGGTGGTAATAGATGGCAGTGACTGCTGTATGCCGCATGGTGCAGGTGATTGAGGCGCACGGTGTGGTGCGGGTACCCATCAGCTCTCGGACATCTTTGAGCTGCGGCATGGCGAAGTACACCCAGTGCTCAAGGGTGTAGTGGAAGCAGTGCGGCATGCTGCTGCTGCTGCTGTTGCCGCTGTTGACAGCTTCGGAGGAACCAAGTGCCAAAGCTGGCCAAGGAGCCAGGTGCGTAAGTTCAAGTTAAAGCCAATGCCAACAGCAAGACATCTAAGCTGGGTGAAGCGTGAGAGTCGTTGAAGGTGGCTGGCTGGACGCGGTTGCAGTGGCTCTTGCTCACACACCAGACCTGAGTACCAGTTTGTGACTGCTCTATGCAGTTCATTCATTACAACTCAGGGTGGGTTTCAATCAACCACAACTGGTTCAGTTCGCCTAGCCCCGAGATGTGACTGTTCTCTTGCACTCATTCACGACCAGACAGCAAGAGAGCAGTCAGGTTTTTGAGCAATCAGAATGTGCTCTCTGCATTCTAAACTGTTACCTTCCCTGGCCGATGCCTCCCTCTCACCTTGTATCGGCCCTTGGGCCTCCGCCGTATCTTTCTCTGACTCTCTGCTGCTGGTGCCCCTCTCCCCGCCACCTCTCCCTTCCAGCCTGCTCGGCCGCCTGTGAGAGCCAACGTGCTTCGGATGGACCCAGAGTTTGCTGCTTCCATACAGTACGAGTTTTCCCTGGTCTCAGCTTTACTTTCTCTTCCTCTCTAGCCTCTAGACCCCCTGTGAGAGCGAATGTGCTTCGTATGGATCCCGACTTTGCTGCTTCCATACAGTAAGAGTTTTCCTTGGTTTGATTAATCTTCCCGTCTACTCCCCGTTCCCCCTTTTTCCCCTCTCGGACACATGACAAGACATCTGCAGTGGCACATAAGCACTTACCCGCACGTGTGTTGAAGCACTTTCATCCACACGACCGAGCATGCATTAAATGCCAGGCTTCCGCTCTTGACGTTCCCTCTGTTTCTCCCTGCCTTCTTGAAACGTAAACCTGAAACCCTCGTGCCCCACACTTTGTTTTTTCTCCTGTTTGTGCTGTGGCAGGGAGATTGTGAAGGATGATATCATGCACCACTTCAGAGGAGGTGAGGTTGTGTTTGCTTTGAGACGCGTCACAGGGTGCCTCAAAATAAGACGCGAGGGTGGGAAAACTTAAATAGCTTAGGCTCGATACTGGGAACGGAGATGATGAGAGGAGGTGGGCATGACAGCATGCATGTTGCATCCCACAGGATGGCAAAATGCACCACTTGAGAGGACGCGAGCATGACAACTTGCATGTTGCATCCCACCCACGGGTTGACAACATGTACCACTTGAGAGGAGGCGAGCATGGGCGATTCCTCGTCATCTATCCTAAACACCTCCCTCTTCTCTCTCCCGCCATCCCATCAGGTGTATGGCTGCAGGACCCTGACCTCTACCACATGAGCATCTTCCACGCCTCACACCATGTGACCCGGTTGGCTACCCTTAATCTTCTCCTACTCCGACCTCCACCCCCATCCCCACCCCCCCTCCCATCAGGTGTGTGGCTGCAAGACCCTGACCGCTACCACATGAGCATCTTCCATGCATGTATCACACCATGTGACCTGGTTGATTCTTACTCCCCCTTACTGCCTCCCCCGCCCCTCCCATCATCCCACCCACCCCCCATCAGGCGTGTGGCTGCAGGACCCTGACCTCTACCACATGAGCATCTTCCACGCCTCACACCATGTGACCTGGTTGATTCTTACTCCCCCTTACTGCCTCCCCTGCCCCTCTCATCATCCCACCCGCCCCCCATCAGGCGTGTGGCTGCAGGACCCTGACCTCTACCACATGAGCATCTTCCACGCCTCTCACCATCTGTCGCCAGTACCCGCCACCACCAAACAGGTGTGTTGAGGCGACTTTGTTGAGGTAGCCTAAACCCTCAACCTAGCACTTCCCTGAAATTCGCTTTAAACAGGCGCAAGTAAACTGGTATTGAGATATGTGAGTTAACTGGTGTCCCATGTACCTTCACCTTTTCAATTGTACCTGAACGGTTCAGGTAGGCACTTAGCGCCCCAACCGGTCGCGTAAACGTACAGTTACGTGTACGTTGACGTTTACATTTGTTTACGCGTAAGTTTACGTAAAGTTGTACGGGCAGGCAAAAAAAAAAAAAAAAAAAAAAAAAAACGCGAAATTGGAAGCTACGCAGCCCGCACAAGGTGTGAAAAGTGGTTGCGACGAGGTGTATTCGCGGATCCTAGGTCTAGAAGAAGTCCGCAAGCGCGGAAATTTTTAGGCGCTGATACGCCAAGTGACGGATGTCTCAAGCTCTTAGGCGGCGGTTTAGGAGCAGAATCGAGTAATAGTGATAGTGATTTCGCTCGAGTAATAGTGATTTCGCTCGAGTAATAGTGATTTCGCTCGAGTAATAGTGATTTCGCTCGAGTAATAGTGATTTCGCTCGAGTAATACCAAGGGAGGTGGGCGCTGGATTTACGGCAGAGTGGGGGGAGGGGAATTGGGTATAATCTACGTCTACTAGGCTATGTTGAATCGCTTAGGTTCTTGGTCGTGCTAGGTTTCCGATGATGGGAGATCTGCTGGTAGTTGGGTAGAGAAACTTGCTTCCCAACGAGTTTGAGCTTTGCCGCACATGCGACGAGTTGGAATGTTCACTGGAATGAGGACGCGTTCCTACCGCGTGTCAAGCGCACATGTGACGAAACCTTGTGTCAGCTCTCGCCCCTGAGATCTGACACGAGGTGCAGAAAAAAATCGGGCAGGCCGAATGTTTTTTAGCAGACCGTAAACGTAATGCCTTTTTGGGCCCACGTACGTAAACGTAAACCAACGTAAACGTAAGGTGCCAACTTAGCCTGAACCCCCCAGCCCACTCCTTCCCACCCATCCACCCATCTTCCCGCCCACCCACCTTCCCATTCTCCTCCTTTGTCAGTGTTTGGACAATCAGCGGGCGGTGAAGCGAGCCAGCAAGCAGTTGTGTTGTGTCCTCTGCAGGTGTCACTGGACCAGCTATCAACAGTCACTCTCACTGTTGGGATGCCTCAAGTTCGTATCCCTGCTTTGAACTCTCGTTACCCTCTCCCCTTGCCAGCTATCAGACGAGTTCAGCGCAGTGAAGGGGGTGGGCCAGCAGTTGTGTCCACTGCAGGTGTGACTGGGCCAGCTATCAACAGTCATTCTCTTTGTTGGGATGCCTCAAGTTCTTTTCCCTGCTTTGAACCCTCGTTCCCCTCTCCCTTGGTCGGCTATCAGACGAACTCAGAGCAGTGAAGGGGGTGAGCCAGCCAGCAGTTGTGTCCACTGCGGGTGCCACTGTACCGCACCATTCTCACTGTTGGGATGAGAAGGATGCCTCTAAGTTTTATCCCTGCTGTGAACTCTTGTGCCCCTCTCCCCTGGTCAGCTATCCGACGAATTCAGAGCGGTTAAGGGGGTGAGCAAGCGGCTGTGTCCGCTACGCATATCACTGGACCGCGTCATTCTCACTGCCACAGGGGTGCTGCTGGCGTGCTGGCAGGTGAATTGTGGCTTATTGTAACAATGGGCATTTTTTCACATCAGTGTGTGTGGATCATGGTACGCATATGCCTGTGAGTCCCCTCATATACCCCCGGATTTTATCCTTGCTGCTACTAGCTTGTTGCTGGCAGGTGCTGCTCGGTTGATCATGATGGTGTTGCAAGTTTACCAGCGCGCGCATGCATGCGCATGCGGCATGGCATGTGGCACTCGTATGCATAGGATTCTGTGCGCAAGTACATGTGTGCATGTGCATGGCCATGCTATTATCCACTCAGATCAATGCCCCCCCCCTGGCCCTTATTCCTCGTTCTCCTGGCACCCCATCTCGTCTCCTCATCCGCCATCACATGCATGGCCATGCACACGTACACATGCACACATGTGCTTGCCTTGCGCACAGAAGCATATGCATGGGAATGCCACATTCCCCTGGTGCCCCATCTCGTCTCCTCATCCGCCATCACACAGCATGCAGTTCACTGCTGCATCACTCCATGTGGTACCCGTCCTGTGTGATGCCAGGTACTGCCACGGATGCCAGGTGCTACCACGGATGCCAGGTACCGCCACGGATGCCAGGTGCTGGAGGACACGGATCCAGCAGAGCTGAGGGACGAGGTCAGGAGGGCACAAGAGCAGCATACCATGCTCACATACCACGGTGCATGCCATGGCCCTTTGTATGCACCCTTTAAACTCCACCAATCCAGGTATTGGATCCAGCAGAGCTGAGGGGCGAGCTCAAGTGAACTGCCAAAGCAACTCGCCATGCTCACATGCCATGCCATCACACATGTCCCATCCCTGTCTGCGCCCATCACACTGCACCAGGTGCTGGAGGGCACGGATCCAGCAGAGCTGAGGGACGAGCTCAAAGACGCTCTGCCTCGAGCTCCAAAGCAACAACTGGTGGGTCTCTCTCTGCCACTCAGCTGGCGGGGTGACAACCCATTTTGGGAACCATCCTTGTTAGTGGTTATTTTCGCTCTTCACGAATCGTTACTGGCTTCTGCTGGTCCTCGTCCTTTCCCTCAATCCACTCCCGGTCAGTCGTCATGATGAATAGAAGTGGTCCAAGCGACCCTTCTTTTTGTTCCCCCTGTCCCCCATCCGCTTCCCCCTCTTCCCTGTCCCCCATCCGCTTCCCCCTCTTCCCTGTCCCCCATCCGCTTCCCCCTCTTCCCTGTCCCCCATCCGCTTCCCCCATTCCCATCCCCCCTTCCCGTTTTCCTTCAACACCCCCGGTACGGTCGAGTCATGCTGGATCCGTGCCCCTCCAACACGGGCTCATACGATTTTCCATTCCCGTCTCCCCTCCCCCTTCTGCTCCCTCCCCCGCAGTACAACCGAGTCATGCTGCACACGTCGCTGGCGAGGATCCTCGCCCCTCCCACTTGGCCTGATGGGGTAGGTGGTTGCTCGTATACATGGGCTCTCAGACTTTTCAAGAGGGAAGCTGCAATTTAGATAGCTTATTTCGACCTTCTATCATGCCTGTTGCTTCTAGCACTGAGGCATCGCATCGTCACATTTCCAGCCTTGTGAAGTCGTCCTCAAGCCTCTTCGATTTGATCCAATCACGGTTTTGGATCCATCACGCTTTTGTTTTGGATCCTCTCCTCTTCCTTCTCACTCTCCATTACCCCCGCCTCCCCCCTCCAGACCCTAGCCCACAATGCGGAGTCAGCGATGCCCATCTTTCGGTCCATAGTGAGCGAGCTCAACCAGAAGCTGTGCAGGAAACAGGCATGTACAGTCCGACCTGTGCTCTCGTTCACTCCCTCTCCCTCAAGAAGTCAAGTCACAGTCCCTCTCCCTCTCTCTCTCCTGCTCCGTTCTCTCCTGAAAGCCAACCTGGCGCTAACTCACAAATCCCATCTTCTGGTCCATAGTGAGCGAGCTCAACCAGAAGCTGTGCTGCAATGCAAACAGGCAAGCTACCATTCCTCCTCCAGTGCTCCATGGATTTTATCATAATTGATAGTCATGGTCCTTTCTCCCTCCCACTCCCTCTCCCTCCCTCTTCTTTCCATCTTCCCCCAACCCCTATCCGTCCCTTAGTATCCCACCACTCTTTTTCCAATGGATTTGTGGTCTTGACTCCCGTTTAGCTTCACCCCATACTGACGGTGGTGAGGGGACCATGGTACGGGGAGGAGACAACCACCTTCTCAATCAGCTCGTGATTTCTTCTCATACCTCCTCTCACCTTAACCCCATGCCAACAGTGGTGAGGGAGATGTGGGATGTAGAGATGGATTATTTTCCAGTCAGTTCATACGTCAATTCTTACTCGTCCCTACCCTCACCCGTTCACCCCATGCAGATGGTAGTGTGGGTGCTATGGAACGTGGAGGAGGTGGATGTGTTGGCATGAGGTAAAGGTGGTGATTTCTTCCCGTTCCTTCCCCTCACCTTCACCTCATGCAGACGGTGGTGCGGGAGCTGTCGAACGTGGATGGGGCTTACAGCCTCTCATCTAATCCCTACATTGTTTACCCATTCACCCGTTCACCCTATGCAGACGGTGGTACGGGAGCTGTGGAACGTGGAGGAGATGGATGTGTTGGCTCTGGCTCTGCAAGGCAAGATGAGCATCAAGAGATTCAACCTCACTTGCATTCAACCAGACTGGGTTGGCACAATATAGGCCCGCTTGAGCTGCCATGTGGCTAGACATTTGCTCCGGGGAGTGAACCCTCCAGACAGCTTCGGTTTGGTGCCATGCTACTTCTGTACAAACTGCCCAATGTACCAAAACTGAGTCACGAGTGGCACAAGTTCAAAGACTACTTGGAATAGAAAGCTGGGGGTCTGGGTTGGGGAGACGGGGCAATGGGCCGTCACACGACCAGCTCACATTTTGTAGGCCAATGAAAAGAGTGTTGGAAATTATAAAAGGACTTCAAGACATTTCCGGAGTCTCGAGTGAGTGTACGAATACACGAAGACTACACCAATGAGGATCACCGAGTCAACACCGCTACAGTACTACCGACAGTTGACACAGGTTGACGACACCCCGCAGAGGATATGCAAGGGCAACGTGTAAGGAATTTCCATTCCTTACTGAGTCATACGCTAGCGCGTACACCCGAACTCTTCGACCCATCACATTTGGCCTCAATTATCGGCCAAACCTTCCCCGAGTCGCGGCCGGCACTGTCGCCACATTGCCGAACCTAACCACGTCCCGAGGTTATCGCCCTAGAATGCCAACCCCTATATAACCACGCCCTCATTGCAATATCGACCTTGTATTCTCACGATATAATATATAATATATCATAACAGCTGGTATTTGAGCCCGACCTTTTCTCGGAACCTTCCGTTTCTCAGGCTACTTAGTTAAGGGTGGTCAGAGGGGATTAGCACGGCTGCACAGTAGTTGTCTTGGGTCGTAAATATTTTTACGCCAACAACTACAGCGTGTGCGCTAGCTTCTGCCCCGTCCTGACCGCCACGGCCCCGGTAGAGTCGACAGTAGAGGGACAGTCTACCTCGACTGCTGCGAACCCTGCCCAGGAAACTGTGGACCTGCAAGCATTAATGGATCAGTTGAAGAATTTGACAAGCGTCGTCAATGACCTCCGCGACGAAAACCAACGACTTCGCCAAGCGCAGGAAAGGCGTTCAGAGGAACCGGGCGACGATGCACGAAGTGAGGTGGGTGAGCAGCAACCGTCGCCAGTGGAGCTGGCACGACTAACGGCAACAGCCCCGCGCTCGACAAGTGGTGGCGTGAGATATCAGCAACCCGCTCCTTTCGACCCAGCTAATAAAGGCGTGACGGTGCGGCAGTGAATATTCGCCATGAATTTCTATTTTAATGCGGCAGGCATCCAAGAGGATCAGAAGCGGATTAGCCACGCGTTAACACTGTTGCAAGGGGCCACCCTACAGTGGTGGAAGGTCATCGTCGACTCAGCAGCAACTCGCACAGAAGGACAGCACGAGTGGTCTGAAGAATTCGGCGACAAAGACAAAGCAGACTTGCTGTTTGGTGCAACCCACATTCGCACGTGGGCAACGTGGTGCGCAGAGCTTCGCAAGCGGTTTGAGCATGCTCCTGACTCAGACAAAGCGCCCGAAACACTACGCATGTGGAAGCAGCTGGGATCTGTGTCCGAGAAAACAGCGTCGTTCTTGACGTTGGTGGACAGATGTGGCTACATGCACGAGTTGGAGAAGGTCGACAGGTACATGGGCGGGCTGAAGCCTGAAATACAGTACCAAATAAAACTGCAACGCCCTGCGAAGCGGTTACAAGACTCCATCCAGCTCGCCGAAGCCGCTGATTCGCTCACGAAGCCGAGGACGAACTTCTACGACGGATGTCGCCCTCGAGAACAGTACCAGCGCTCCACGATAAAAGGGATGGACACAGTGGATACAGTGACGGAATTTTTTGGCCTTGAAATTGTGGTCTTTGATGATAAAAGCATGTTACGCTATTTATATTGTATGCTACTAGTACTCATGGGCCACACACATTCTGCCTTAGGGCGTTAGGGCTCAAACACAAATATGTCTTATAAGTAATATCGAGATTACACAAACGTGTACACAATTTTAGGTAACTCACTCGATTCAGACAATTACCTCCCACCGAGAGCCTAGACCGAGTTCTTTCCTGCATTTCTCGCTCGAACTAGGTTTCGCACGTAGAGCTTCACGATACCCTTCCTGAAGTCTTCGCCAAGCTCCCTGCCACGATGCGTCCGATAAGAACGCGTATTAAGGACCGACTCTTGACCCTGCTTCATCAGGGTCGTAGTTTTCGTCAGATTGCGAGCATGTTAGGGATAGGGAAAACTACAGTTAATAAATATGCGGAACAGGCATCCCAGCGCACCAGCCGCCTAGCAGTACGACCAACGGTACCTCGATCAGGCCGCCCTCGTTTGCTTTCGGTGCGTGACCGACGATGTCTTGTGCGTTCCGTGACTTCAGGGGCTGTCAAAACGAGTGTAGAGGCCGCAAAACAGTTAGAGTTAGTACAGGGCATTAAGGTCTGCCCGCGCACAGTACGAAATGCCCTGAAGCTGTCAGGGCTTGTCGCTGTACAGCAACCGAGGAAGCCACGTCTTTCGGGGAGTAACATCCGAGATCGCTTGGCATTCGCCCGTGCACACCTAGACTGGACTATCGAGGACTGGAAGCGGGTGATCTGGTCGGATGAGACCAAGATCAACCGCTTTTGCAGCGATGGCCGCAGCTTCGCTTGGATCCGCGATGGCGCGGCTCTTCAAGTGCATCAGGTGAAGCAGTGTGTGAAGCATGGGGGCGGGTCCATAATGATATGGGGATGTATGACCTATGATGGCCCCGGTTTTATGTGTAAGATCGAAGGGCGCATGGATGGGCAGCTGTACCGTGCGAACTTGCAGGATGAGCTTGCTCTGACTATGGATTTCTACTCTCTAACCGCCAGTGATGTTATTTTCCAGCAAGATAACGAACCTAAGCACAAGAGTAGGCTTGTGCAAGAGTTCCTTTCTGAGCAGGAATACTCAGTCCTGCAGTGGCCTTCCTCCTCCCCAGACCTAAATCCAATCGAATACCTATGGTCTCACCTCAAACGTGAGCTCGCTAAGTATGAGTACCCCCCTTCAGGCATGCTTCAAACTTGGGAGCGAGTGCAGGACACGTGGGAGAGTATCGGAGCAGAAGTCTGTAGGGGATTGATAGATAGTATGCCTAGGAGGGTGAAGGCCGTTGTTAGGGCAAAGGGTAGATGGACTAGGTACTGATTTTGGACAATGTTATGCCTTGTTTGAAATGGGAACTATTTGTCCTAATGTACATCCATGTATATAATGCTATGAACTTTGGCATAACAAAACCTAATATGGCTAGTGTTGGCATTTTACGTGTGATGTTGCCTTTGTCTACCAGGCCATTAAAGCCTGTCACATTATTAACTTCCCAATAATCAGCAACTGACAATTTTCCATAAAATTGCCCAACATGCGGACAATTTCTGCCGCCACTGTATTTACGCAGTTGCTCCGCGAAATACGAAGCTATGCTACCACTGTGGCCGACCGGGTCACATTCGACGCAACTGCCAAGAATTTGTAGCCCCCCAGAAATCTATGGGGAAGAAGCCGGAGGAGCGACCGGGAAATGGGTCGCGTCAGTAACTACTGGGCCCCTTACTGACGGGCAGGCTTCTTTGCCCGAGCCACACAGTCCCCACCGGGTCGTGATCCCGATTGCTGCAATCGACCGGACCCGGACGAATAAGGGGGACGAAACTGCTGATCACCCTGTGTTGGTGGAGGGTAAAGTCAACGGAGTATTGCTGAAAATTTTCGTAGATGGAGGCGCGAGTCACAGTCTCATACAGCTGGACATGGCTAAAAAATTGGGTATTCCCTTACTCAAGTGTCTACCCGGAATTGACGCCCGACTGGTGGATGGAACGCCACTGGCTATACGAAAGCGAGTGGAGAACGTCAGCTTTCATTGCGGGGAGTACGTAAAATTTCGGATGGGGCTGCTGGCGACTACACTTGACGGGTGCGACGTGCTGCTAGGACGGGATTGGCTGCGACAGTACAACCCGAAGATCGACTGGACAACGGGCATCTGCAGCATAAAACTCGATGGGATTCTCCGCGAGCTACCCAAGTGGATGGGACCTCGCATGCGAAGCACCCAAGTTCATGCGATTACTTTCAAGCGAGCGATAAAAGCGGGAGCTGCAGCGTACGCCGTTGCCCTTCGCGAGGTGACGTCTATGACAACGGCCGAAGTTATCGCGAAGCTATGAGAAGTCGTTCCTCCGGATTTAGCGGACCTGATTCGAAAATACCCCGAGATTCTCCTAGACGACCTGCCCGCTGGACTCCCGTCGAGCCGACCAGACCACCATCGCTTCGAGCTGGAACCCGGCGCCCAACCGACAATACATCGACAATTTCGGCTCAGCCAACCGGAACTGGAAGAATTGCAGCAGCATCTGGATTACCTCTTAACGAAAGGATTCATCTGGCCTAGCACGTCCCCGTACGCCGCCCCGATACTGTTCACATCGAAAAAGGACGGAGGATTCCGCATGTGCATCGACTACCGCGCGCTCAACAGGATCACCATCAAGTCGCGTTACCCGATCCCGCGAGCCGACGAACTACTCAACCAACTTCGCGGAGCCAAGTTCTTCTCGAAAATCGACTTACGAGGAGGTTACCATCAAATTCGCGTCGCCACCGAAGATTGTCACAAAACCGCATTTCGCACCCGCTACGGCAGCTACAAATACTTGGTGATGCCTTTTGGCCTCACGAATGCGCCCTCGACTTTCCAGATGACCATGAATGGCATTTTCAGGGAACTCCTGGATAAATGCGTTATTATCTACCTCGACAACATCCTAATCTACAACCGCAGCAGGGAGCATCACTTAAAGGATCTTGATGCAGTCTTCACGCTGCTACACAAGAGTTGCCTCATCACAAAAGAGTCTAAGTGCGATTTTCTTAAGCAGGAGTTGGAGTTTTTGGGTCACGTCGTTTCTACCGAAGGAGTGAAAATCGACCCCAAGAAAATCAAGACCATACAGGGGTGGAAGCCGCCAAGCAACATCAAAGAGCTGCAGAGTTTTTTGGGTTTCGTCAACTACGTCCGCCGATTTATCCCAAATATGGCTGGGTTATCTGCCCCGTTAACCAACCTCCTCAAGGATCACGATCATTTTTGGTGGGGAGAAAAGCAGCAAGCTGCATTCGACCAACTGAAAATGGCCCTCATGTCGCCGCCTGTCCTTCGCATCTCCGATCCCGACCGTCCATACGAAGTCATCACAGACGCCAGCGACGTCGCCATCGGTGCAGTTCTCCTACAGGATTTCGGCGACGGATTACAGCCGGATACGAATCACGAAAGCT